ACGGCGTGCGTTAGGCACAGGAAGCTGATCACCTACTTGTCTATTAGATTACCAAATGATCATGCAACAGATACAGAAATCTGAGGCCCAGATCTAAAAAGGCTGTAGCACCATTGATTTTTTTTACGTCGTTTTCACACTGTATATCCTTTCCATAACATATTTTCATATGTGATTCTCCTCATTTTAATGGATGTTTGAGAGCGGGAATTAAATATAAATACTTTTTGTTTTTTTTTTTGTTTATATTAAATATAAGTGTATCGTCTAGATACATTATTCATATAACATAAAGTTTGAGTGCTTTAAATCGGTCATTACAGAGGCTTTCTAAATATATATATGTATTAATGTTTATAGCCATTAAAGAAACTTAGCATATACAAACATGAAACTAAAATTTGTTATTCGGATAAAAACAGCTCATTAACTTATCAATTCATAAACATGATTACTACTTGACAACACACAAATTACTGGAAATTATAACAACTCTGGTAAGATAAACAAAACTTAACCCGAGCCATCTCATGGAAGAAGCATGTAAAATGGTATGATCGCATATATACTTATAATACAGCAATTTAAAAAAATATCTTAGCACCAGTTAGTAGTAATGTTCTTTCTTATTTTAGTGCCTCTCCAATACTGGAGGTAGGCCGTCAGTCTCTTGAAGCGTGTCTTGTCCTGTGCCAGATGCAGCAACTCTTCCGCAGTCGCAATACCCGTCCACTCCCTAACGTTGCGAATATTTCTTCGTTCAACCAACACGCCGTTTACCCATTAAAATTAATTGTAGGGGTGGTAGCTGTCATAGCGCACTGCGCAACACGCGGCCCAGGTACGCAACTTTCCGTTGTTTAATGTTCTGCATATTTTTCGCCATTCCAACTCGTTTTTAGAACCTTCTCGTTAGAGACCTTCTGGATTCAGATTATACGAAGCATGCGACGATAGCACCATAGTAGTAATGTTAGTTAAGTTATATATATCTTAGTCTATACTAATATTACAAAGAGGAAAGATTTGATTTTTTGTTTGAAATGAATAGGCTCCGAACTGGACCGATTTCAAAAATTCTTTCACCGTTGGCAAGCTACACTATTCCCGAGTGACATAGGCGATGTTTCAATTTTCAAAAAAATTAGGGATGCATACTAAAACTTGAATAATATAACCCAAGGTGTAAAAAAATGGGTGCGTGTACTTGTATACGCACGTAAGAAGTTATACTTCTTTGGCATTATTAAACATAGTTTTTGATTGCATGCAAATAATTAATTACAATTAAATAATCAAAGACTGGAAAAGGAGTCATTATAGTCAATAAATGGCATAACCCCAAAAAAGCATGGTGGATTGGTGTTCTCCTACCGTTTCTCTTGAATAGTTTATTACTATGTAATATAACAAAAATCTTAGCCACAGCAACGCTTGGCCGAATCTACTAGTTAATAATAAAAACCGAATATCATATGTTAACAATCATCTTACACTTGTATCCAATAAATTCTAAAATAATAGGTTTGGTAGAATTAAATGAACACTTTAGTTTTTCATACATTTATAATAATAATATTATATTCAATTATATGTCGGTGTGATGCATTTTTTCGTAAGATGCAAATTTTTGATCATATTTTTTATTGAATACTATTATTAATTACTGTTTTAAAACCAATTAATAAATTTTAACTTAGTTGATAGATAGTTAGATACCTTTACAAACTACCCAAAACAAAAATAGATAAAATATATTTAGCTATGGATTTCGGGGATTTTTTTGACTAAGTATGTTCCTTAATAAACATAATATCATCATTTTAGTCTGACCCTATTATATTGCGCCGTACAGAAGCCTATGTTAGCAGAAGAACGAGCACCAACCAGTTATTGTAAAACCGTGCGACGGTAAAGACGCATTTCACTATGTCGGCCACTCTCCAAACAAGTTTAAAGTAAGTGCGAAAGCGAAAGTTTATTTGTGTTTTTTATCGGATGCATGTCCTAATCTGTGGTATTTTGATATCAACAATAATTTTTCGCTTTAATCTGTGCTTCACCGGGATGAGTATTATTCTTGTGTTAATTTTGTTACCTGCAATTTGTATTTTTTTATGGATATTTACTGAATTTAGGCCTTTGTTATAAAGTGTGTAAATCTCTTTATTTATCTGTATTTCTATGATGCCATAATCTAGAGATTAGTCTGTGGTTTTCTTTTTTCTCAAGTGACGTCTTTAACAGGGAAGTGTTAAATTTACCGCGTAATTACCAACATAATCGCAGCAAAAACTGTCGGTAATGTAAATATGATTTTTCACAAAATTATAAAGTATTTGTTCGTAAAAACAGAGAAAACTTAAGAAATTAAATTTTCTGTATAATATTCTCAAAATACGCGAGTAAAATTTTTACTTTTTTTTAGTTTACGTCCAAACCGCAGACTAATATTAATTGCGGCTTAAATCCATATAATTATATTTATATGAAACTTTAGACATCACAATAATAGAAGCATGGTTCAGTAATTTATTTTTAATATATTATAACTAAACAATCACGAAGTCTAATTACGAATTTAACGAACTAGGCCGCGAGTGTATTGTGTAAAACTACAAAGATGTCGTCTTTTACGCGTAAATGTCTGAGAATATTTACGTCTTCGAGTTATCGAAGATTGCCTTGAAAATCTATTGTAAATATTGTTATAGTATAATATGTACTGGGTTGGACCTTAAAATCGGTCGCCCGAATCTGATGATACTGATTATGCAGGGGTCTCGGGGCACCTTGATTGGAACACCTCCAGTCATTACTTAATTGCAAATTTAATGTTAAGTATAAACAATAAATTACGCCATGTGTACTACAATTATAAATACAATTCAGCATTTTACGTTTTACGCAATACTTCAATAAATACTAGTTATAAATATTAATTTTTTTTTAATAATTTTTAAGACGTTATCGATATATTACATGAATTAAATATTTTAGTGTGTGTATGTTATGTAAATACTATACTAATTTGTTATTGCGGAATAATTGTAATTCGAAATAGTTGATAATAACTATAAAATGCCGTAACATTCCGATAACAAATTTTACATTCTTTTGTATTTAACTTGAAATTTTACATTTTCAAGGTTACATTATTTGTATTTTACAACATCATATATTCACTCAATATTACGATACGTGATCGTCACAAACGGTAAATTAATCATTTAACTATAGTCAAATAACTATATCTCGTACTTCAAAACTAATACGTTTTCGACATACGAGAATCTTACTATAACTTTATATAGAACAAAACCAAAAATACCAAGATTATCAAAATGTTTAATCATAGAAAGGAAAAGACAAGAACATCAATTATATTTATTCAGTACTATGAAGATTCTATAACACGGAAAATATTCTCTATCGTCATGGAATAGCTTAAATTGTTTAGAGTAAGAGTTTCTTGAGAGTTCTTATAAGTGAATAGATAGATTTTTATGAAAAGCTCAGTAGGCGAAAAGAAATTCATCCCTTGACTCTCCAAAAGGCATAGTTCTTAGGTTGACAGTTCTTTGACTTAGATTTGTTTATTTTTCATATTTTGGATTACGAGCGTATTTTATAATTCATACAAAATACATATATTATTTGATTTACATAAAATTTCATTCTTTATTAAAAGCAAAACTTGAAATTTTCTTTACAAAATTAAAATATATTTTCTTCTTTTCATGTTTTTTTTATTACCAAGAAACCAGTGGTGATATAAACCCTAGTCTTGGCAATTTCTGTATCTGTTTCATGACCATCTGCTTTTTCTGAATAGGTGATTCGCCCCTGACACACGCCCTTGATTTTGGGTTTAAGGCATAACGGTTTGCTCACGATATTTTCCTTTACCGCACGAGTCGGTGTTAAATACGATTGGCAGAATCCATCATTTTGCACAGCTGGGGTTCGAACCAACGACCTCAGCAATGATTGCACGCTTAAGCTACTAGGCCAACGCTGCTCATTTATTCAAATATTTAATTATATATAACGTACTTAGAAAATTATAATAATAATCATTTCTTAATATTTTCTACATACTATACAAGGTCGCAGTATTTCATACGAAAATAATCTCTTTGTTAGTTTGGTATTAATAAAAAATTAGGTTCTAATTAAAAGTAATGACTTGAACCTTGCATATTTCGTCATATATTCTAGTTTTTATTTCGTTTTATTTGTTAATGCTGGTCCCGCGCACGAAATTCAGTATAATTATGCACATCTACCATCAACTGTTCCAGTGAGATGTATGAACATTTAGTGCGATTAATAAACTAACTTCAACTAAAGTATTTATATTATAATAAAAAATAATTTAAACACTAATAGCTAGTCTTTTGTCTTTTTCTGTCAAGTTCTATTTACGCTGTGATAAAAAGAGACATAATTAAAACGGTGCTTGTAACTCAACTCCGCATACGGATTCGCCATATGCCTACAGCAAATTGTATCTTATTTCGGCCAAACAATGGGCGGAGGCGATAAGAACTTGGAGAAACTGATCGAGGTTGGTAACACAGTAGGCAAAATATCGCGTGGCCGTTCAACAACCAGATGGACCAATCAAGTGACAGAATCATCGTCCTCAAAACTGTACACTGTCATAAGAGGCGCTGGACAGAAACCGGTGGAAACAGATATGCCGCTCCAGATGCTTCCTTGCTGACCACGACGCTCATACATGAGCTGCCGATTACCGAGAAAGAGTCCTATAAACAAGGAGAAAACCTTCGAGTTAATTAAAGTGTGTGCATACAAATTTAAGATATTCTCTATCTATTCATTAATTCTAATACATTAAATGAATAAATATTCTAGATAGACACCGTGCTGATTTATTTTAAGTATATGGTTAAAATTTCCACGAATTGTGTGACGTCATATTGTAAATATGTTTACGTTGCGTTGATTATCTCTATAGACCAGTTTATTATTCTTTATACGCGTTTCATACTTCTCCGTCCATTTAATTCTTTTGCATCATTTACGGAAAACAATTTTATCTTGTTGCTACCTCTGTTATGTGAGTTACCAGTAAGCCATAAGCCTAGGCAAGCGATGAGATAGATCTGTGGCCGAGCTAGGCAGCAGGGGTTTACTAAAAAGGAACTTATGTTTAATAATTCCCGGGCCCGGGCGACAGCTACTCCAGAACTATACTCATGATATTTATGGGCGAACGGAGCCTGCGCTGTCTTGCGTTCAGGGGCGGTTCTACTTAAGGGGTTTTGGGCTGCAGGCCAGGGCCCCTTGGATACAAAGGGTCCCCTGTCCCCACTGAAAACAATACGCGATATTTTGAAGTAAATGTCTACAATTTTACAAATTCCAATCATAAGGTTGGATGATAAACCCGGAGATAAATCAACCCGTGTGCGTTGCGCGTCTATCGAACAGAACGAGGAATTGCCCTTCGCTTGTTTTTGGTTGGTGTATTTGACCTCCACAAGTTTATTTGAAAAAAGCTGCGTTCTATGCTCGAGTAACAGGTCAGATAGCCCATCCAGATCGCACCTAGCTCTTTCGAAAGTCGGTCAACCAGTAAATGAACCACCGTTTGATCGGTTCTTTCGCACGCAGGGTAATATTCTAATTAATAAATAATCATTCTAGGTAATATCTTCAGTCAGGGTAAAACATTTAGATCATAACAGTAAGGAACTCAAATATCGATGTTTTGATTCCAACAGTGGAAATTAAATGTTTATATTATTAATCGCGATGAGTGATATTTTTGTTTAATTGGTAATGTTATTGGAGTTTCGAATTATTTGATGAAAATTTTGATATATTTTACAACAATCTTCCTACTAACCGTAACTGTGTTTATCATGCTCATAATGAGGTAATAAGTTTTTATTAAGTTTCAGTTATATTTTTTTTGTTTTTTTATTTTGTGGTTGCTTGTTTAATTTTTTCCCTGGCTAGCTTGCTTATGTGCTACTATAATTGTTGTGTATGTGTATTTGTGTAAAATTTATTATATTTTCTTATATAATTTTATGCATACACGTTTTTAGTACTTATAAATAAATATTATCTAACGGGATATATTTCTTATTATTATTACTTATCAATACAAAGTAGCTAACATATTTTTAAATTTTATACATGCATGTAAATCTACATTTAAAAAAAATAATAATCAATCATCGGTCATACCAAATACGAAATTCCATCCGTATCACCTCGTCGTCCGTCGTTCCACAACTGGGCGTTTTTTGAGACCACTATTTGGAACCAGTTGCCCACTGAAGCATTTGCGAACCAATTCGACTTAGGGACCTTATAGACAAGAGACCTATTCTTAAAAGGCCGTCAGGCGGCACTCGCAAGGCCGATTCCTCTCGAAGAATTATTGCATTAAAAATAATATTGGTCATATCTCTAAAGTATCACCTCTCCTATCTCTAACTCTATACCGTGTGTGGCCTCCTTTCTCTATGCCGTGTAATGATGGATTTTATAAGTACAACTATGCGGAAATTAAAAAAAGCTTTATAAGCTTATTATGTGTGCTTTATTAGTGGGAAATGTCCAGCTTTCTAAATCATGACCTCGATACTTGTGACTAATAAATATGTATGTAACTTTTGTTTATTATCGTAATAGTGTATTTTTTGTTCATCACAAGTATAATAAACTTGTTTGGTAAACCAAATAGGGTAAAATTAAGAAAGATTCCACCAAAGAATTACCAGCAAAACATCTTATGATAATTATGCCAAAGACTACAGATTTATTTCAACTTGTAGGACATCTGCGGGGGAATTTCATAAGTTGCGGTTTCAATGCACACAAATTGTGCACAATTACACACATCGTTGGAGCGATTATTTACTAAATTACTAGGAAACTTGCAAGGTTATTTCCCTTCTGCCTTGTTTAACGTACTAATGAGACATATTAACTCATTATCGCTTTTGTACCCAGTAAACAAATCGGTTATAAAATTCATGTAGTAAATACCTATGTCTGAGGTCGTAGGTTCAAACTCCAGTTCCCTATTACGGTAAAACAAAACATCGTGAGGAAACCGGCATGCTTTAGACTCGAGTCGACGGCGCGTGTTAGGCGCAAACGTCTGTTCACCTACTTGCCTATTAAAAAATAATACGAATCTGAGGCTAACATCGAAGTTGTAACACCACCTGTTTATATAAAATTATTATTATCGCATCCTTTAAATATCTACAAGTTTTACTATGTATTAGAAATTGTGATCACGTGCCTTGAACATTGTCTTATTTGTTTCAGTTATGATAAATTATTTATTCGTTCAATCAAAGTCTGCCCGTACAGTGGTTGCCTATGAGAGAATATAAATTATTTGTTTGTTCGCTTCATGAAACTTTGTCCGTACAGTGGTTACCTATGCTGGTGGCAATAAGCGCGTTGTACTAAAACGATGTTTATGCCACAAAATTGACAGATAAGGCTGTAGGCTTAGCTCAGTATAGCAACCAAGCCATTGTAATGGTATTCTACTCCATAAAGCGAGTAATTACTTTCAGTGTATTTATGAGTTGATCATTCTTCGGTTGGGGATATAAATACATAAATAGTTAACGATTTGTTTAACCATATAATGAAATACAATTATTTACAAGTTTAAGCCGTATGTCGCATCGTAAACAGATACAATTATAAATTCTAGTAAAGCATGAAAATGAGTTTGATAACATCCTAATTATTAAATTAGTTAAGAAAAAACTATAGCTATATTTCGGGGTTTCTTGCGTTGAAGGCAATATATCTATGTCTTATCTTTGATAGATACTCTGTGGAAAAATAAAATGAAATATAAAAAATAATAATAATATAAAATGAAATGTTTTTTTTTAGAAAATGGATTGAAACAGATTTTTTTCAGTTGGATGAGGAGACAATGAGTTGTTGGCCTACCGCCGTTTTGAAAGTTCTTTACTAGCTCAGTACATCAAGAGGGAGTATCTTATCAGTTGGTTTCTTAAGGTATTTTTTGCCGCGCACCGCTACTGTATGGAACCGCCTGCCCAATGTAGTATTTCCGAACCAATTCATATGAAAAGAGCGTTCCAATTCTTAAAAAGCCGGCAACGCACTTGCAAGCCTTCTGGCAATTTCATGGGTATCACTTAACATCAGCCTCCTGCCCGTTTGCCTCCTGTTACGTTATAAAAGTGTTCTTTGAACACATATTTTAAAATTTATTGATTTTCAAATATAAACAGCTAACTAACAAATGTGGTACGTTTTTGTTATCACTATACTATTAATTTTACATAACATTATTCTCGTACGTGTTGTACCATCTCATAATCACTTGTCATATGGCCTATGCCATGTGTAGATTACAATAGACATACGCAGTCATGGTAGATAATATATGTAATATAATATGAAGCTATAAAAAACAAGAGTATTTTTTTAATACGACTCAAAAATTGGTCGAATTTGTTCGTTATGTAAACTTACAAAGTAGTCTACACAATTACACAAGATATAATATTATAAGGAGTCCCTTTAGGCAAGGTTCTGAAGATACTGACAGCGTTCCCCCTTTGAATAGCTAGACTAACACTTTGTCCGAGGTAGCTACCAGCTCTTCGGTTTCCTGTGATGTCGAACCTATTTGCTATTTCCTTAAAAAGCCTTATAGCGCTTGGACCCCACGGACCAAGGGTCTCGATCAAGAATGGGACATCATCTATATATATTATATATGTTATGTAAACATTGTAGAGTAGTCAATATTAATTACTCTCTACACAGTATATCTAAGACAAATTGCTTTAAGCAAATGTAGAATTAAATATCGAAAGGCACAGTCACACACATAACATACAGTCACACAGTACATAAACATAATTTATATAATCTATAATACAAGTGATGTAATGTGATCCTTGGTTAATCTGGCGCGTGATCAAGGTTACATTCAGGTCATTAAGTTGATGTTATGGTATGTCAGCGTGACTCTTCTTGGAATTCTGTTGAATCGTTTTATTACTGGCCGCACCTGGGATTTGAATTTGAGACCTCATGATCTGACTTATTTATTTTTGCGTCCTACTGGGAGGTTCAGGACACATGTTTTAAAGTATAGAAAATGATTGAAGACAAAGTTAAAAACGGTGTAATACGTAGCTTTACAAAAATGACAGACATACAATAAAGATAAAGTGGAAATGGGCTGGTCACATTGTCCGCGTTTGTGATGATAGATGGGTCAAAAAAGACGCTTACTTGGAATGACCCAGTGGAAAGAAAAAAGGGGGTCACCAAAGAAAGCTGGGAAGATGGAAAGGGATAGCGGGGAAGGATTGGAATTGACAAGGATGAGAGACAAGTGGATGAATTTGGATGTTTTCACTCCTTTTGGACTTTTGGACTTAATGTAATCCTGATTACGTAGTACTCGAATAAAGTCTATTTTATCTAAAATCATTGACCGTAGTTGTATAATCTTTCCTGTATCTCCGTAGCGTCCATACTTTGAACCGACGCGTAACAATAATTATCTACATCCGGTAATAATGTTAGGCCCTCCGTCAGAAATAGAAGCTCTGAGGCGTAACATTGCTTCATCGTTTACTCTTATGTCAGCGTGATGCAAAAAATGTATAAACATCTAAACTCTAACCAATACGGAAATAAAAATATACTATACGAAATAAAAAACCAAGTTTTAGTAATAAAGATAGAACATACTTCGTCTCTATCTGTCACATCATTTTGCAGTGGGGAAAAGTATCTAATATATAAAATTCTCGTGTCACAATGTTCGTTCCCATACTCCTCCGAAACGGCTCGACCGATTCTTGTGAAAATTTTTAGGCATATTCAGGAAGTCTGAGAATCGGCTACTATCTATTATTCAAACCCCTAAGTGATAAGGGGGGTAATTTTTTAGACAATTTTTTTGTTTTATACAGAAAAATTCACAGAAACACCTAAAAAGTTTTTCTCTCTCTAATACTTGGCCGGTCCATCGTATTCGCTACAGTTTTATTTCCTTCCATTTTGTTAGGTGTAGTATATACTCTATACGAATAACAAAACGAAACGGGCTTGACAGAAGTTTTCCTACCTATATATTCAGATATCGTCACGTAAGTTGACAGAACTTGGACGAGATGGGGAAAGTTTACCATGACTTACGACTACCGCCTAATGACATACCGAGAACTATACTCTTTACTTGATCGGTCCAGTGGTATAGAAATAATTTAAGACACAAATTGAACGCTCCAGCAGTCTATACAAGTTATTATAAACACGAAGAATTCCATGCTTTTCCTTTGATGAAGTTAATACTCAGTGAAACTTAGGGTAAGCTACTCCAGACTTGAGTTATAATTCCCGTGTGTCGAAATCGTATTGGATTTAACATACTGCAATCATACTTAGCGCTAATAGCTTGAAGATAGTATTAAATTTACTAAAATAGTAAAAATTCAAAAAAAAATTAGTTAAATAATAAAAATTAGAGACTTTTGGTGCCGAGATAACAACTGCTTTAAACTTTATTTATATTCAAATTCAGATAGAGTAGTGTTGGCCTAGTGGCTTTAGCGTGCGAGTATCTCTGAGGTCGTAGGTTCGATCCCCGCCTGTGCACCAATAAACTTTCTTTCTATGTGCGCATTTAACATTCACTCGAACGATGAAGGAAAACGTCGTGAGGAAACCGACATGTTTTAGACCCAAAAAGTCGACAGCGTGTGTCAGGCACTGGAGGCTGAAGCCCAGACCTAAAAAGGTTGTAGCGCCACTGGTTACTATTATATTGAAATTCAAGGTTTGAAGTTCAAACGTAATTGAGGACATCAAATGAAGGTCAGGTGAAAGTGACCGTGACCGTTGAATCCGAATAGATTTTTGATGCGTTAAAAAATGTTTTTACTTTGCATTTGAGAAATGAGTAGAATCACGGCTTACTAATGCACTATGTTGTAATATGGTTTTAGCCATGTTGTACATATATTATGTATTAGTATATTAGAAAAAACATAATGTATGTAACTTCTATGCAAAACTCCTTTTAGGACAAATTTTCACGCCATTAACAGAATTTGCGAACCCTAGATTGCGAATCAATCATTATTATTAATTACTTAACTGTAATCACTACAACGGACATAGTATGTCGGACATATCGGTGTGGCAAATACTGAACTGAGACAACTAAACAATTCCATGATCGTGTTATCAGCCGCCTCTATTTATATATTTTTTTTTATTGAGAAAGATTTACAGCTAACTACTAAGTTACTTACTAAATACAATGTTCTTTTACGCCATTAAATAAATCTTTACAAATAGTTAAGTACTAATAATATTAACTGGATTGGTAACAATAAAATGATTTTATTCAACTATATAAATTATATCAAAGAAAGTATTAAACTAAGTAAAAATTGGTTAAGTAACACTTAACAGTTTAGTATAACTTATATGTACACTTATAAATACTTATGGTTCACCATTCATTCCACTGAGGAGCTCAAATGTCATAGCTCTCCTTGCCGACACCACACTTGAGGCGAATAGGTCAATATCACAAGTTAAATATATCACTTACTCACCGCTGTTAATTAACTGTAACTTGCTGATAAGATAAGTAAATATGTTTATTTAAACGAAAACCTATCTATAGTAATCAATTAAAACCTCCAATTTTAATTGTGATAGCACTTGGACAGATTTTGAATTATAAAATGGTATAATTGCAAAACTATTCTATCACAACTATTGCTCCTTTCGATCTAACAAACGATTTACGACCGCTTGCTGTACTCAATCTCAATCCAATATTACTACTAGAGATTGATATTTCAATCCATTTCTCATAAAAATAATATATTTATTAGTAATCAGAACAATTGAGTATACAGTATCTACAATTCTCTTAACCTACATAATATTAATAGTAAAAATAATTTAAAATTTAAAAAGTTTGGTCCCTGCGGCAGTGTACATTTAACGCTGGCAGCATTTCCTCGCTGTATTGCGATACTTATTCGTTGAGCGAGGAAAGCACCAGCTCTGGATCACCGGTACTATGTACCAGGCGCCAACTTAAATCTTTAATTAGCGTCTGTGCACTCTAACCCCACGGGCCAAGAGTCTCTACTCCAAAGGAAACAAAATCGAAGTTGGAGGAAAGACTCTTATATTTGATAAAATACTTTTCAATAACCGATCGATGGATCGATAGTCAATATATTTTTGTAAACCATCTTTGGGAGTCATCGGTATTTTTGGATTAATATTTATATGAAAATGTCAGATCGTTTTTTTATAAAATATCTTTGAATTGGACAGATCGAATTCTAAATCTAAATTTTCTAAATCTAATTTTATCTACCCATTTTGACAGATTCACGATTATTGCGGTTCTGTTTTGTTGTATAATATATACCTAGCACGTGTCAAAAACCATTCAAAATGGATTTATTTTCGAGTGACAGTGATCTCGAGATTTTAGCTCGGTTATCGGACTGCGACACTCATGACAGCGACGGTGAACAAGAAAGATTTGTGTTGCCTACTCATTTCACTCAAGATATCCTCGGGGATTTATGTCTAAAGAGGCCTGAAAAGGGAATTCCCTTTCCTGAAAGAATTCCCTAATTTACGTAATGTTTATATTTATTTGCAATACCTACCTACTAGTTTTTCGTAGTCCATTTGTCCATATCTGAGGTTCAGCTTAGGCATCCAAGTTCCTTAGACTTACTATCGTGTAAAGATGTTCAACAATAAATAATTAAAATCATGTACACGTTTCTGTTGTAACAATATGCTTTGTTATCGTAAAGGATGGGTTGTTCCTGTGATAAGGTTCGAAAATCAATGTTTTGATGAAAATTATCTTCGTTTCCCTATCCTAGTCCATTTAAATAGAATAAATATTTATTAGAGAAAACCCAGCTCACTTTAAGAATACAATTCCGATCTCTGAGAAATGTAATGTCTATACGTAAGATACAAGCGTTATTTTGGACTATATATCCTAATATACAAGAGAGAAAAAGGCCAGATTTTAATGACTAAAATAATTTTCATATTTTATTTAATCAGTAAACGTATAAAATTACGAAACTAGATAAATATCATAATAACTAATAGTATTTTATATAAATTTTTTGACCAAGAAGATTATTTTTCCCTTTTGACAGCTGAATTGACTATACATTTGTACAGTACAAAATACCTTTTACTTTTCAGAGAGAAAATCTGCGAGTCAGTGGAAATACCAATCCTCACAAGATGCTGCTTCTGTTTTCCACTACGAAAGGGCCTGATGACCTATGCATACTTCAACACAGTAAGTCATATTTTATATCTAAATCGAACCATAGCGGTAACCACTTCATAACAATTTTGCTAATTGGTGATCTGTAGTAAGTAGCCGACATCGCTAACTTTTGTGTATCCGGGTCATTTGTTAGTACTGTTATCGTATTATCGTTAGTACTATTCTTAGTCCTGACTCCCAAGCGTATCATTTCTATTTCTACACTACTTTAGCTTAATATATTCCATAATGGGGTTAACAATTGAAAAAAAAAAAGTTAAATGATAATTAACATTCTTTTTTTTCAATGCCAGAACCAGCTAGAATAACCAGCGCTGCGGAACACGTATGCCCCTCAGTATAATGCTGAGCCAGTTGTTTCACAAATGAGCGTTTTTTAAGGTAAATTTTGAAACCAGCTGCCCACTTAAGTTAACGAACCAGATTGACTTTAGGGCTTTAAGAAGAGCGCACAAAATAAAAGGCCGGCATCTTACTCGCGAGCCCTGGCATTGAGAGTGCTCATAAGTCATAACATCAGATGAGCCGCCTGTCTATTTACTATAAAAAACCCGCTGCTGGCTGTTTGATTTTTAATAGATTCATGATAATATTAAAGACAAATCCGCCATTTTCTAGACACTTTATAAGTAAAAGACTCTGAGATATAATAAGAAGTGATATTTGGTTGTCAAACACACTTATCAAGGATGAACTGACCACTTTCTCGAAAGTGAAATTGAAGACGTGTGCGAATTCGATTCTTCCATAGAAATGTGTTAATTATGCAATTCTCAGTAGGTCAATGTCGGCTACACTTGTGACGTATCTATACATGTTTTATTTTAGTTATAATAATAAAACATATCAATAATAGAACCTAAGCTATTCACGCCTTTGAACTATTAAGTAGATAATAATAATAATAATAATCAAAGGTCGATATTATTATAGAACATTAAAATAAAATAAATAATAGCAATTAGCTAACATCATAAGCTGAATAATAAATTGTCTTTAGCCTATGAATTTAAATTAATATTTACATTTTAAATAGGGCATATGTCAGAAGACAACCTGTAAGAGCCAAGGCTTTTGCTCACTCAGGCTTTGTTAGCGTGGCGATTTCCTAAATCGTCTGAGTTTCGCCCTGAGAGTATAGCTAGATGTAGGCACTCTCTTCGACTGATACATTGCATTCACTCGCTACATAGCAATTAACATTACATTATTTCGCTTATATTCTATTGTTGTACGCAAGTTGTTAATATAGAGTAAAACTAAAATCCTCTATTATTTAAAGCACCCCGATTGACAACCTGGCCTGAACTTGATAAAAAAATGTTAGTTAATGTTTTTCTTACCAATTATTATAATAAAGAATAAAGAAAAAGGCTTTATTTATTATGATACACTTATAAACGTATTTTTTTTAAATATTTACCTTCAAATAAATGGATTACAACGGATGGGAACTACTAAACTATCAACGATTCAATAACCAATTCGGTCAAGCAATTTACTTAATAGATAAATATTTGATTTTCAGATCCTGTCGATATTAGACGTTGCAATGCTATCATACATAGCGTCCAGCCGTTCAACAGATCTGACAGACCAATCGGAATACCCTCGACTCATTGTTGACACCTCATTTTTAGTGCTGGAGATCGTCATGTCTGTGATGTTCATCGCTGCATTACATATGGTGTGTATTTCAATCGTCTAAAGTTACAATTAGAACAACCACCAGTGGAACCAGTTGCGAGCGAACCGATACAACTTAGCCTCTAAGAAGAGCGTACACGCACCCGCAAGCCCAGCGTCTATGAGCAGCAGTTAGCGCTTTTAAAGTGAATCTGCTGCTGAAGTGAACGTCTCTGTGAATCGTTTGCTTGATATCCCATAAATATAACAAGACACAAAAACCTTCGCTTTCTTATCTTCTAATAACATGGCTATAACTTGATAAAAAAGGTATTCGACATATTTGTAATTTAAAGTTTTTAATACTTTACCAGTATTTCTTTTTTTTTTAACAAACAGCATTACGCGACGCGTAACACCCGTGGGTGCATATTGTGATTAAATGTGTGAGTGTTATGTTTATGAATGTGTGTAACAGCTGGCAGCAATTTGGCACCCATTTAGTTATTGTAACTTGGAACCCATGTTATTTAAAAAATATTTTTGATATTGCATAAGAATAATATATTACTGTTACTTCAGGCCTTCACAATAAAATCACTAAATTTACCTGCAATTTGTACCATAAACGCAATAAAATAACGTAATGATTTCGCAATTAGCGCGGCGGTTGTAAAACCTCATTCTAATGTATTCAATATGTAATAAAATACTTATTTCAAAACGGTAATAGTCATAGACTTTGCAGATGCACAGCACATAATTCAGTGTTACAATGACTATATAAAAAACTATAACTGTAATCTAATATATAAAATTCTCGTGTCACAGTTTTCGTTGCCATACTCCTCCAAAACGGCTCGACCGATTCTCATAAAATTGTGTGTGCATATTGGGTATGTCTGAGAATTGGACATCTATTTTTCATCCCCCTAAATATATTTTTTTTTATTTTTAGATATTTTTTCTGTTTTTATTTTTTTATGATACAGCATTAAATAATAAATAAATACATACAAACACCTAACTTTCACCCCTCTACGATCAACCCCTATTTTTTTATTATAAATGAAATATATGGCAAAACGACGTTTGCCCGGTCAGCTAGTAAATGTATAAAAAACTTATGAAATATTATCTCATTCGCTCATATTAACAATAGAAACGGTTCCTCCAACCCAAGGGCGAGTATAGATTAGGTGTTTTGAAGCGCGCCCTTAGGTAACATGCGTTGTAACTTGTAAGAACTACGGTCAGAAATAGGTCTGATTGAAGTGTAGGTACACAAGCAAACGCGCGCTTCGAGCCAAGCGCGTTTTAGGCGTGCGTTAACCGATTTTGATTAGAACGCGCGTTGCGCAGGCGTCAGCCGCGAGCCTCAATGTTGAAGCTGCTCGTGTATCTACATGAGCAGCCCTGTCCCATAGAAAAGCAACCATACACACATAATAACAATCAGGCTGAACTAATAATCAACTTTTTGAAGTAGGATAAAAAATGAAACCTATCACGTTTTGTAACTATTACTTTTACCCAGCCACGCTTCGCTGTGGCACACTGTGAATGAATGGTTGAGAAATAAAGAAAACAAAGAATACATTTCATATAAGTTTAATTTTGCAATATTTGTGAGAAAAAAACAATCCTTGATGCAGATCATGCTAAAATTTCAGCTCGATCGGTGCAGAACTTCGAGTTTTTTAAGCGTACAAAAACCAACATAACATTTTTATATTCGACCAGGGTTAGCCTTTAAAAATAATAAAAAGTGAAAAAAAAAAATAGTATGATGAAACCCATTAGGCAAACCCTTAAAAACTCACCCCCTTCCCCTTGCCGACCTCAGTTTGCCCGTAAATTATTTTTCCTTTCATTTTTATAATATTCTCCTCCTTTTCCAATGGTTTTCATACTACTACTATTTTTTTTTGTTTTCAAAAATTATCTACCTTGGTCTATATATATACACTCAAAACCGGTTATAACGACATTGAAGGGACCGTATAGTTGCCGACGTTATATCCGATAGTCGTTATAAGCAATGTCATGTACACAAGTACAGTACATATGTATGTACATAGTTATCGATCTAGAATAGGTAGGTATGGGTTATAATATGGTATGTTAATATTATAATATGTAAACGAGTCAAAAAAGAAACAAAAATATTTATTACGAAATAATTAGGTACAAAAGTAATCAGTCAGTCTGGTTTTTTTTAGCCCAGTCTCAAATATTTTTTGCATTTTACGTTTCATACTCCTCAAGGTATGAGTATCACCAGTATCAAACTGTTCGTTAAAGGCAACAAATTTTTGCAAAATCGTTACAGCGTAATCGTTGTTGGCTGAAACTGTTCGTTGGGAGAAAGTGCGTAGGTAATAATATGCCTAAATATTCATTCAATGCTTATAAATAAAATTTAAAATCGTTTGTATTGTTTTGTTTTACTGAGACAAGAAGCGGTTGGTCGTTATATCCGATGAATATCGATAAACTTTCGTCGTTGTAAGCGATATGTCGCTGTATCCGATGTTGTTATAAGCGGTTTCTTTACTGAATAGTTTACTAGGGATTCGGACGGGACCATACAATCTGGTTGTAATAACCGATAGGTCGTTGTAAACGATGTCGTTATAAACGGTTTTGACTGTAGATTGATTTTTCCATTAAACCTAAGAACTTTCAATAATCACATCCCAATTATAATAATAGATTCTAATAAATACAATATTATTACAGAAACACGTGCTACTCATGAAAGTATTCCTCTACTTCGAGATCGTGTTCTCCATCGTCAGCTTTATCTACAGTCTGGTCTTCCTGGGTGAGGAAACGGCCAGCGAGCTCTTCTTAATATTATTCCTAATAAGTAAGTATATTTTTTCCCAGCCGACAGCTTCATACTTATTTTATGACTGGCCAGAAAGGAGATCCAGAATAAATGACATGAAAAAGTTTTGAAAAAGATTGAATGATATTTTTTCAAAACCTGTGCCACAATAGCAATTAGCAAACTATATATCAAAAAGGTATTTTATTTTCGTTTTTGTTTAACCGAAAAATTATAAAATAAACTTTGGGACAAAGAACTTTTGTGGTGCCGTGTAATCAATACGATGACGCTACCGTGGATAACTAAGGATAGATTAGTACGTCAAAAATGTATTAGATTTGTACGTAAATATATGGGTATCATAGTCAGTGCTGTCTCGTTTCAGTACATCACTCTTAGTATTTCTGACCAAAAACCAGTCAGTGGTTCCTCCGTTAAGGGTTGAACGCCTATCATGTATAAAACATTGGTTATGCTGTGTAGTTATAACATCTGTACATTTTCCCTCTCACTCATAAAAATACCTTTGCACCTTTTTAACTAAAGTACTCATGAGTCTCTTCATCTCGGCATAAATGTCGCAGCCAACTAGCTTAATTAGCCGTTCAATTAACAGCCTAGCCGTTTAACTTAACGGCGCCATTTAACTAGCGGCTAGATGTTTAGCCAGATGATCAAAGAGCTTGGCTAATGACTTGGATCGATGACATTTCATTACTTGCCTAGCCTGTTGACTGTTTATTTAAATTTAGTTCCACTTTCTGCCACTCTTAAACTCGAAATGAAACTCTTCAAACTGTCAATATGGCGTCGGCAAACCACCACTTTGATGGTGTTTTCCAAAGTTTCATGAAATACAACAAGTACAATGGAAGAGTGTATTGACAATAATAATATAAATTTGACCCAAGCAATTTATTTTTAAAAGAAATAGTTTTTTTATGTCATATGTTTCATTTTTTTTTAATTCTGTCAAATACTGCCAATGACTCTATCGTACGAATGGCCTAAGCATTAGCCAGCCAGTTTATTAAATGTTGTAACAAACGCTACGGCTGAATCTTTCAGGCCGCTAGTTAAACTGCGCCGTTTAGTTAAAGGGTTAGGCTGTTAGGAGAACGGCTAATTAAGCTAGTTGTCTGTGACATAAACATCATTACAAAGAAATATACTGTAGTTATAAAAGTCTGAAATCCAAATCTAATCAATAGTTGTTATTACTTTTATCAAAAAATAATTTTTGGTGTTTTTATTTTTCGTTAGTTTATTTTCAGGATATTTTTTTTTTAATTTAACGTTGTTTGGTACAATTTTTTATAATTATTTTTTTTAGCGCTACAAGTATACTTGGTGATCCTCATATGGAGTTCAATAGTGAAGATGGAGCGAGACGATTCCGTAAAGTACACGCGAGAAAGAGATAATGTCTAACCTTTAAATAACGTAAGTTAATAACTAAAGAGATCTTTTGTATAACGTTAAATTCAGAACGTTTTATATTATATACATATGAATCTGTTTTTTATCCAACGTTTAATCTATATAGGTTTAAATTATTATTGCTCATTTATATTACAACATAGCTAACAAATTGTATCTTCAACTGAAACTTGTGTATTTTAAAATGTTAAAAAATTATTTGTATAACGTGTTACCAATAGATAAATGTTGTATTTATAGAAATATGCACTACTAGTGACATGGCCTATTTATGACATATCAGAATATAGAAATTTATAGTTTATGGAATAAAAAATAGTAATGGCCATAGATATTTGCGTTTACTTTTTTCTATTAAAGGACAGTGTAAGTTACGCCACAATACTATATACTCGTAATACGCGACTTTTGTTTTAAGAATCTATTTCATAGATCTTTGACGTCAAATTAAAGATTCTAAGCTAAAAAATTACTAATAAAACACTCCCTGTGTTTTATAATAAAGAACCTGAAAAAGAATCCTAAATATAGAATAAATATTTATTTATTTTTATATACAATGGTGCCAATATTATAATGGTATGCTTGTGAATATGTTTTACTTAAACTACAAAATAGCAAATACAGGATCATAAATTGTTATCTAGAATTAAGTGCCTTAAACATATTTTTATAGTGACATTGTTTACACGTAAATGTAAATATTATTTTAGATGTATTTAATTAGATATAAGATTTTATGCCAAATAAAACAATTGATAATTTTTTGCATAGTTTATTTTAGCTATAATAAAAACAAAAGTAATTAAGGATAATCAAAAATTAGGTAGAACAGTTTGTAGGACCCGTATTTATAATCCCTATCAAAGTATAAAAAATATTTTCGCCTTATAACAAGTTCCTTTTTTAAACCGGAAATAGTCTTTATATAAAGTATATCAAGCAGTATACCAACTATCTATGTTAATATTCTTTAGTCTTTCTGTCTCTCCTCCAGTTTCCTCTACTTGCTTGTAGAAACTGGCCACAATCATCAGCATGTAGAAACGAACCACTAGAAAAATAAATATTAAGATTATACACGAAAAATAGATTTATGGAATATTTTTATAATGAATTGTTTATGATTTTCCGTCTAAAACCTTTCCCGCTCATAATAATTATGAATTAGTTTTTAATTTCATAGATTTCGGCGTAAATAGGTAAGCTATATGCTTAAGGGAAATTAAATATAATATTAACCAACTCTTAACTGCAATTATATTTAAAATTAAAATAAATGTGATGCAACAAAAGTGTTCTTCAGCAAGTGGTGAATTTTGTAAAAATTGGGGGTATTAGATTTTATTAGATTCTTAAAGTTAGTCTGTGACCTTATAGATTGACAACGAAGTGTATTTTAAGACAAGATTGACAATTTAAAGAAACTGCATTAATTGGACCCATTAAAAGAGTAAAAATTTACCGATTATGTAAAAATAATATATCCTAAACAAACTTTGCTGACTAAATATGAGCCGGCGTTTAGATAAAAATATGTATATATGTATTACCGTGGTTAATGATTAGGGTCAGAGCCGAGCGTTTTAGATTATCCCTAATCATAATTAAATGCTTTTTAATTTGAACTCCCAACTTTCTGTTTGTCAAAGGATTCTTATAGCACAGCGGTCAAACAGGCAGGGAACTCACCTGATTTTAAGCGATAGCCCCCCAGAATCACGCGGCTGGAGCACTCGAGGGAGTGTTCAAACTCAAACTCAAAACCACTTTATTCATATAGGTAAACAAGTACACGTATGAACGTCAGAAAAGAAGTTAAATTGATTCTAAATTTACTACCAGTTTGCAAGTAAAGGGCCTTCGGCAAGAAAAACTGACAAGAAACTCTCCGCCACTCATTATAAACGCTAAGTTTTGAGTCATATAAATTGTTTGAACTGGAGCAAATCAATTCCCAAGGATTAGGATCATTTAAATATTCGTCAAATTTATAAAAAGCTTTATTGATTAATTTACGTTTAAGGAGAGTTTTGAATTTATTCCGTGATAATTATCGAATTGCGCTTGGGAGTTTATTGTAAAAACGAATTCCCATACAAGAAGAGGTTTATCATCTGGAGCCTGGTTGGTCGTTCGTCTATTAGTTCTCTTTCGACTATTCACCATTTGTTTCCAGCATTTTAAGATTGCTTGTTTTAATGTTACAAATACATTAAATTATAACTTACTTAAAGCTAAGAACTCTATGACATAGAGTAGTAATGATCCACTTCCTTGGTGATTTACAAGACTAAAGGTAGTCCATAAAACAAACATAATGACTGACATAACCACTTGTATGGACGTCCACACGATCCATGGTTTCATTAATGGCAGTTTCTCCTGAAAAACAAAAAAAATATTGGTTTGGCTTTGGATTCCATCCGTTACTTTGGTCATTATTAAACAAGTTGGTGATCAGCCTATACCTGACATATGTCTAAGGCCGGTTTCCTCACGATGTTTGCTCTCACCATTCAAGCTAGAGTCAAAGTACGCACATGGAAAGACAGATCTGTATATTGTGCACAACCTGGATATGTTTGAAGACGCTCATAAGAGATACTTACAAAGTAGGGAACAAACGCGTTGCCGGCCTTTAGGCTCGTGGCACCTACGTCCATCTTGGCTATTAGATAACATTAGTTCAGATAGCAATTGGCTGATTTCACTAAGAGGTGATGTGAAAACGATCAACCGTAAAACGCCTCGATTATTGCTTTCAACATCATACACCTTTGCTAGTAAAATCCTACAGGCGCTATATATTAAGCAACCAGAAAGATAAACTTTGAATTTGTGTAATACCTCTACATTTTTGCCCTTAAACAATACCTTGCTATTCTCTAAAATACTATTAATATTTTAATTTAGATTATGTTACGATTCAGCCATACTATACATATATGCCGCAGCCAACTAGTTTAATTAGCGGTTCAATTCATAGCCTAGCCGTTTAACTAGAGGCCTGAAAGATATTCAGCTGTAGCGTTTGTTGCAACATTTAAGGAACTGGCTGTCTAATGCTTAGACCATTCATACGATAGAGTCATTATTTGGCCGAAAATAAAAAGATGAAACATATCACATAAAAAATAGTTGTTTTAAAATTAAATTGCTTGAGTCAAATTCACATTATTATTGTCACTACACTCTTCTATTGCACTTGTTGTTTTTCAATGAAATTTTAGAAAACACCATCAAAGTTGTGGTTTGCCGACGCCATATTGACAGTTTTATGAGTTTAGTTTCGAGTTTTAGTGTGGCAGAAAGTGGAACTACATTTAAATTATCAACAGGCTAGGCAGGTAATGAAACGTCATCGATCCAAGTCATTTGCATAGCTGTTTGATCAACTGGCTGAACATCTTTAAGGCCGCTAGTTAAACGGCACAGTTTAGTTAAACGGATAGGCTGTATGTTAAACTGCTAATTAAGCTAGCGACATATATATTATACAGCTGAGTCACCTTCTTTATTAAGTACTTACCCTGATAACTCCAACGAGTAATATGGCACTCAGGAACAGAGTCAAGGCATGTGTAAAGGTAACTCCAACTAACACAGCGTACGTAAAGATAATGTTGAAGTCATCTGTAGTGAATTCTTTTGGCAAATGGCTGAACGCAACGATGCATTGAGCGAGTGCGAGTATTGAATATAACTGAAAAATATGTAATTATAAAAGTATAAAATATGTAATAAATCAGTGCCGCTACAACCTCTTTAAGTCTTGGCCTCAGATTTCTGAATCTGCTTCATGATCATTTTTAATCTAATAGGCAAGTAGGTGATCAGGCTCCAGTGCCTGACACACGCCGTCGACTTTTTGGGTCTATGACATGTCGGTTTCCTTACGATGTTTTCCTTCACCGTTCGAGCAAATGTTAAATGAAAGAAAGTCCATTGGTGCACAGCCGGGGATCGAACCTACGACCTCAGGTATTTTTAAATTTTTCAGCCCACTAATATATCCAGCTCTGGATAAGTAGTGTTTATTTGTTATATTCGCGAAGAATTCGAATAACAGGTGCCTGATAACAGGTTGGTTTTTGCAGACAGAAATTGCAAAATTCTCCTTTTGAACCTTGAAATGAATAAGGGATGACAAATAATAATAATATTCTGTACGAGTTTACTGTTCTGTATTTGACCATTCAACAATTTGTATAAGAACGTGACACCGTCTAGAGATCTCCAACCGTACAGTGACATCATTTTAAATTGTCCATAAGTGTTATCATACATAAATAATTAATATTTTGGAGTAATAAAAACTGACTTTATGTACAAAGTTAAGTTAAATAAATTTAAACATATTTATTACACAATACATACTGTAGAATCGTGGTAACAAAGTTATTCCGACAGCTAAAGATATCTACAACTTCTCAGCTAGTCAGAGGTATGACCGGCAAAGATCCTCCCTTAAGGATGAAGGAAGCACAGCCTATTCCACATTGCTATGCTTTTTTCTCGCTGTATTATCTGTTGTCCATATGTCAGAGAACTTGGACGATTCCTCTATGACTATATGTTGCTTAACAGACAACTATTTATATATTATTGTAGTAAATAAACTTACAATTATAGCTAAACCAGAGAATAAACTCCCAAACTTCAATGAGAGGCAGGCAAAGCTGCGTTGGCGAGGTATTGCTTCCAATGATTTGGAAAATTCTGTAAATAAAAATATTTCTTCAATATCGATTTATCTCTAAATTGGTTATAAAATATTTGGTTTATATATAAACCAAGTTCTATAGAACCAAAGACAGTGTGTAGTGCCGTAAAGTTACATACAAAAAATGCCAGTTTGTATTATCTAATTTTATTTTTTCCATCTACGTCTGAATAACATATTTTTTGCAAACACCCTTAACAAGGAATAAATTTAGTTTTGTAATTGTGTTTTTTAATTCAAATTGTCAACCTTTAACGAATACTTATATTAAAATCTACTATAGTAATATAATGGAACATGACAAAAGCAGTTTCATGAATCAAATCACAAAACAAAAAAGATTGTATTTATGTAAATTTTTATCAAATTTATGAAGTGATTTGACAATGTTCACGTATTATTTTTAAGACTTAATAATATAAAACGCTGAAAGACTTACAACTAAATGAAATGGAGCATCAAATTAATAAATATGATTATAGACTATAAAATGATGTACAAAATACTCACTAGACATCATAGTGAACTTCACGAACCGTCCGCTGAACTAACAATGGACATTGATACCTTATCAGGGTCCTTATCTAAATTTTGTGATATCAGTATATTTACTATCAGACTTTAATTTCCTTACTTTCTTTTATGTGTTATATTTTCAATTGTCTATGTACATATGTTAGTACAATAATTATATATATATATATATAATTTTGTACAGTCAAAAAACTATAAGGCGCAATTAAATGATGATGCGAGAGGCAAGTACGTCCACGCTATATTATTGGAAACAAAAGACTGTACAATTGAGTAAACAGTAAACTTACTTAAACACATAAACTATGCATTGTTCTGATTATTTTCTCTATAAGTAAGGTAGTTTACTCACACGACAACAATTTTTTTTTAAATTTAAATAAACTGTAAACAATTACATAATTAGTAAATTTATACTATTTTTTAGTAAGCTATAAAAATAGCAAACAATACAAGCGGTATTATATAACGTGATTGGTTGAATGAAAAGAAAATTATACGTAACAGTCTTTATTGAATCAGTTACATTCAAAGTCTTAAATAAAATCTTATAATATCGATGGGTCAAAATCATATACAATATCGTAAGACTAGATAAACAAAAACCGATCACCACACCGAACCGACACCTTAAACTGCAAATAAAATATCTATTCGGTAACTTAGTACTAATTTAAACGTTTTACGTATGTCAGGCTATTATGTTATCTTATTAATATAATATTATATAATTTCATTATAAATAAAATAAATGTAAAAGTAATTTCGCTTAATTGCTAACTTGCTATCAAAATCAGTGGTTTAACTATTACTGCCAGTAGATGGCGTGGTTATGCGTTACGTAATGTTCTTCTAGAATAAGATATTAACGATATCGAGTTTTGGTTTAATACACACTACATTAACAAACTTCTGTTTTTCAATGGTGGTAATACCCATGCCCAGAGCTGACAACATGGGATGCCCCTCCCACGGGAATTCCATACCCATATCCACCATATCCTCCTCCATAACCACCATATCCCCCTGCATAGCCACCATATCCACTAGCATAGCCCCCATAACCTCCAAGAATCCCTCCCAATCCAAGGGAACCAGCTACTATAGATCCCCCACCAATCCCCGACACAAAATTAGTAGCCACTGGAACTGCTACTGGAACCCTAACGGGTACAGGAGCTGGTACACCAACTCCATATGGCTGAGGTACTGGAATACCAACCCCCTGAGTCACAGTAACGGGAACAGGCTGTGGTACAGGTACTGGGTACGGCCTATTAATTGGTACGGCAATTGGTCGAGTCACCACTTGGGCAACTGGGTGAGGTACGAGTACAGGGACTGGTCTCGGTCGATCCACCGCTACTCCAACTGGAACTGCTACTGGTACGGGTCTTGGCACGCTCACTGGTACCGGGTGAGGAACAGGTATTGCGACTGTATTTGTGATTTCGGAATAGGAATGTCTGACTGGTATTGATGCCGATCGTTTCTTCTGTTCTGTGCTGTACACAGAGTGAAGGCAGAGCGCTAGAAATACCTGAAATTAAGATGGTAAGTTGAATATTCATTGCGAAGAATCTTATGCCGTATTTTCTGAAATATTACTTCAAAAATTATTGATACTCTGTTTAATATGAATTTATCATATGAGAATTTGATTTTTTTAATTGACGTACAAAGAAAAAGCTGTAAATTTACTTATAAGTAAATATTTTTTTTTAAGTTGCTGGAATTTCTGTAAAACAGCTCTGTTATTATAATTACTTTTACTAAAAAAATAGCTAATTTTTAAAACTGTGTAATTGAATTACATAAATAAGAACACATTAATAACTGTGATCTATTAAATTTACCAAAAATCACTTTACACGTGTGAGAAAATTACAACCTTATCTTCGTTTTTTTATTATTTTGTGTTAAACTTATAATACTAAAACTTACAAAGTAAATCTTCATGTTGGTATCTTGTATGTGTATTGATGATATATCGTGCAATGGTGTAACATTAGATATAGTCGTATTTATATGTTAAATTATATGTGGTGTGGCGATCTGTGCGGAAAGGACCATACGGCACACGAAGAAAGTTGTTAACTACATAGAGCTGATAATACTCGGCAATTTAAACACAAAATCTTCTCTTAAGAAATACAGTTCTTGCACTTTTTATAAGTTATTTTGAATTACCTCTCTGGGTTGCATATATAATTTAAACGTTAACATACAAATAATTGATAGATAGGAAATTAAAACAAATTTGTGGTAACTTAAATGTTGTCAGCATTTCCTCGCTGTATTGGGATACTTAAGTTTTGTTATGATTTTAAGCTATTGCATAGATTTTATCGCGGGCTTTGAGCGCGGCGACCGAATCAAGAAATTCCGTAACGAAATTAACCTAACTCACGATGACGTAATATAGGTGCGGCCAATACGCGTTAGAGCAGGACAGAACGCATCCTGCGTCTCGGTTTAGCGTGATCGGATAGGCGTGTTAGTCTGAGTCTGGTAGAGTGGTAGATTGAATTAATATCAAAGAAAAAAAATACTGCACAAAGTAAATAAACAATTATATTGCATAAGTTTATAAAAAATGCTATGCAATAGCTTTACCGCGGCAGTCCCCGAGTGCCAGACGTATTTTTTTTTTATCTTGATACTCAATATCCTAACTTCCTCCAGTACTTTTAATCCAGGCCTGCTCTAGCTTTCAAATATCTCTATCCATGGCTTTCTTTCTTCATTCTCTTCCAGCTGCTATATCTTCTATCCACTATTTTTTAGGGCGACCTATTCTTCTTCTTCCCCTTGGTCCTTTCCGTATAGTAGTCTTTAAAGTCCTAGTTTCATCTGTGCATCTTGCTATATGCCCCGTCCAGCAAAGTTTCTAAATCAATAAAAAGTATAAATCACTTCTTGGCTTTTTGAGGTCGTATACCATATACTACATACCATACGTATACCAATGGACACAAAATGTCATCTCTATTATTCTTAATTGCGATTCTTAATTTGTTTTACTTCTTGATTTTCTTTTTAATATTTTTTATTAATACTGTATAATTGATTGTTAATACAAGTTAGTATATTGTATTCAATAAATATGTAATTTGTTTTATTATGTAAAAAATATATACTACAATACTTAATTGCGATATATTTTATTTTTAGATTACTAGAATACATATTAAGCGGGCTGTTCGGGGTATTTGTTGTGTTTCTCCGAGGGAGTCGGTTCGGAATAAGTTTAATGAATTAAATATTATGACACTCCATGGTCAATATATTCTTGAAGCCTTGTTGTATGTCCAAAAAAATATAAACGATTTTAAAACAAATGGTGACTTTTACCAGTATAATACGCGAAATAGAACTAATTTGAGTGTACGACTAACCAGGCTCCAAAAGATAAACCACTCCTTATATGGAAATTGTATTCGTTTTTACAACAAACTCCCAAGCGAAAATAAATTCAAAGCCCTCGTTAAACGGAAATTAATCAATAAAGATTTTTATAAAGTTGAGGAATACTTAAATGATCCTAATCCTTGGGATTGATTTGCTCCAGTTCAAACAATTTGTATGACAATACTTGGCGATTAGAAAGAGTGGCGGAAAGTTTCTTGCCAGTTTTTCTTACCCGCTCTACGCCCTTGACTTGCGAACTGGTAGTAAATGTAAATTTACAATCAATTTAACTTGACAATTCATAAGTGTAATTGTTTACCTACATGAATAAAGACATTTTGAGTTTGAGTTTGAGTTTATGAATTTAAGACAATAATTCTTTAATTTACCTTTCTTTGCTTCTCACCCTGTCGTGATACTGAAAACAATTAATAAAATTTAGTTACAATAATGATAATGAAATATAGATTAATTCTGTTTCAAGCTAAGCGATATCTTATATCGTATGTATTTATCAACAGCTCTACAATTTACTTTTACTCGCCCTCATTAAAAGTGGACAGGAATTTAAGGCAACTTGTCTGGTCTGGCCTGAACTAGTTCTACGTAATAGTTACGTTATATAAGGAATTGAACCCTGGACATTTTTATCTCCGTTGCCCTCGTTTTAACATTAGATTTATTTAATAAATGTTCCTTAATCGTCCATGGTTCTTTCTTTGAAGACTTATGTTATGATACCCTAAATATATGGCAAACAAGGTTTATAATAATTTACCAAAAAATTCAAAAATTAAAAAAAAAATTAAAATCGACTTAATGTACTACTTTTGAAGAAAGAAAACGTATTATTAATAATTATTTGATAACGTCATAATATAATTTAATAATATGATGATGTACTGATAAAATAATATGTGACATATGACTCATAATGTAAACTAATATATAACTTCTATGTAAAATTCTATTACGAATAAGACAAATTTGCAATATGTTTGGCAGAATATGCGAGGTTTAGATTATCCACCATAATATTTTAATAAGGAATTCTGATTGTATTCCTGGACTGTCGCAGATTTTAATCTTTTAGGTCTGGGCCTCAGAATTCTGTATCTATTCCGTGATCATTTAATAGGCCAGTAGGTAACCTTCTGTACCTAACACACCGTCGACTTTTTGGCTCTAAACCTGGTTTCCTCCGTTTTCCTTCACTGTACGAGCGAGTCTTAAATGCGTACATAGAAGTCTATTGGAGCACAGCCAGGGATCGAACCTACGTCCCCACGGATGAGAGTCGCACGCTGAAGCCACCAGGCCAACACTGCTCGCAGATTTTGCAACCATACCTTTAATTCAACAAACCCAATAGGGTCAAGTTGCCACTTTAGTAAATAATAGTTGCTTTATCAGACAAATGAAGGCTTTGTCTTTGCAATCGTTTAGTAATAGGTTTCGAAATAAGACAACTTTATGAACGGGACCTTAGATCATTTCCTGCTTGGGTAAAGTTCTACGATATTGATTGGTATTATGCCACATGCCCTATCAATAAAAATATAAGAACTAATTTTTTTTAGATTATAAACATATTTAGTTTTAGTAAGGAACAATTCGGTCTTTGTTATTAGTGTTGGTCAGTAAACAAAACAATCAAACTCTTTCTTGATCCCTAAGTCGATTTGTTTTGGAATATTCGTAACGCTGATGTCACAACCATATATTCAAGATGGCTATCTGACAGTATGAAAACTAAAGTGTTATTGATAGTAATATGTATGAAACATGGCTTCAAAAAGCGTTATGAAGCGCTACAACATGTAATAATTATTGATCTATAAATTTTTTCATAGTAAAGGGGGGAAAACGACGGGATGCGCTAAATGGGCAGCCATCGCAGCCCATAGACACCCATTTAAGTGAGTGCGTTGCTAGTCTTTAAGGAAGGAGTATACTTTATCTTTCTGTTTAAATATATTAATGTTTATGTCAGTGACATGACACAAAACGGTCACAGGTTAGTCGATCAAACGAAAACGTAACTTTCTTGTAAATAATATATCTTCGCTTGTCGAACCAATTACGTCGGAGACAGTTTTTATTCGAAATAAAGTTGATGTTTAACAAATGTAGAATACATGTAAAAACTTGTTTGTTTAAGTGTTTTCAGTATAACAACACGTTGACGTTGTTTACGCTTGCCGAGGTTCTGCAGTGCGTCAGGTATGTTAGACCCAAACTGAGGTTTTAATGCCGTCTTTCGGAAAAGAGTGTTATGTTAGGCATAGCACCAATGATTTAGCACCAAGACTTAATGTGATGATCACAAACAACACGCATATCTTAAAACGTTGGTATTCTGTCTATTGAAGTTTTTTTGTTTTGTTAACTTGTTCCTATAATATTTAAAACCATAGTACGTCAAGTTGAATTGCAACACCTTGCCTAGAGAAGGGTTTTTATCTTGTAATTATTAATTTTAAATTTTATTTATATAGGTAATATTAATTTATCTCATTCTTTTTAGGTATCTATCTGTGTGCTCTTTTTTATCAAAAGCCCTCTCCAAATCCCGCCTCTGTCTGCACTGTGTCACTTTCTGTTCCTTAATTTGGGCTATCCTCATTAAATTGTCTTCCTCTTGCGTTTATTGTACCATGAGCACCAGTTTAGTACTGTTAAAATATAAGTTGTCTATAGTTTATACTGTATGCTCTATGGTAAACTTCGCGCCTTTCAATGACTGTTAGCAAGATCTCTCTCATTGCTCTGATAATAAAAAAACGTCGGATTGTTTTCCGGGAGTGCCGGCAAAAGTGAAAACTTTAATATTAACAATGTGCATTTTTGATATTTTGGAATGGTTAGGGAATACTTTTGCACAAATTGTTTTAATTATCAGTATAAAAGAACTCGTTTATGTGGTAGAATACAATATTTATTTATTGCGCTTTCGTACACAAACATGACAATTTATATTACATTAAATACGGTGCGGCAGCTGTCTATTCTCCATCTGTCTTACGAATTTTCGTTCAGGTCACGTGTCCTGACGCGAGTTTAAATTTTTTTACCCATTCCAAAAAAAGTGTACAACGCCGCTAAAGAAGTTTTCACTTCAAAAAAACAGTTCATTGTACTCCAAAACTTTTATCAACCAAAAGCAAATTAACTATTGTAACAACTACTTTGTTGCTACACTTCTCAGGTCATCTTGCCATGTGCCCCGCCCATTTCCACTCAAGTGTTTCGGTTCTATAGTTAGTAAAAAATAATCTGAATGGCTATAAAGCGTAATACAACGCTAAAGCGGTTTAAGCTATGCGTAAGCGCATCTCCACCTCGCAATATGATACACATATAACATACAAGATTACGTTTACGAAATTCATAGTAATTCTTAATTAAAACATTCAATTACATAAAGGAAATCGCGATTAAGAAAAGTAGGCGGGAAATCTCCCAGCCATATAAGTCACTGTGACAGACAGACCGACATTCCATACTGACGTAACACGCAGTTATATGTTTTTGTATGTTACGTTAAG